CGTGAATAAAGAGTTGTCKCAAATAGCGTCATGTTGTTATTGTCGTGTTATTGCTATTGTATTTTAGACGTTGGYCCCCCTTTAAGCACATAAAATTAGATTTTGCCCCCCTCCTCTGGTTTCTCAACCCCCCTGATAAATATTGCCCAGTCCCTAAATATGAATTGAATTTTGCAGTTTGATCTTTCAGATTTATTTTACTGAAATACTATACTAACTTTTAACTCTTAAGGTACGAATAAATTGGAATCGGTTTTTAAAGAAACTGAGGGCAACCGTGAACTGATGGGACTTATAGCAGGTCATGTATTCAAATACAAAGAGAGTGAAGTTCAGCAACTGAGGACAGACATGAAAAGTCAAGTGGACCCGCACCTATCTGTAAGCATGAATTTTAAAGTTAAGTGCTTGTGTTCTTAAGGTCCAGTCCCAAAACMTTTTGAGCTCCATTGAGATTTAAGTCTTCTGGTAAAGGGTCCAGAAAAACTTGATTGTGCTTACACTGCATCATCCAATAAGAAACGTCCAGGATTTACAGGCATTATTAGGTACACCGCGAACCTAAAAAGAATTAATTTTATGCTAATTCTAATTCAATATTATTGTCGATGAAAATATACATTCATACGTTAAGTTCGTCACGACGATTGCTAAACTTTTGAATCAGCCTCGAACAAAGTACTTTTTGCTGTGCTGCGCGACTGGCGTTGCCTTGTGACTGACGCGCCGCCGAACTCAAACATTTTGGTTCGTCGCGATGATAGCACGGATCTWATTCCTTACTCGTACACTTTTGCGTATCTTCAAGGGAATTTTGGAGTATCAAAAAAGAGCAACGATTTTGAAGTCGTTAGTTTTTCTCTCTCCTTCCCATCAGTCTCCCCGAGGGTAGCAAAATGGGAACGCGGCATCTGATCTTATTCCGAAATGTATTTCAGCTTTGGGAATCTGTTGGCGTAGAGATCAAAGGTCATCAGCTCATCTACCTTGGCGAGCCATATGAACCACTTTTCAGCCAACCTTTGCTAAGCTCRCTCGGAGCTATATTCCGCATACCGCTCACCAAGAAATGGCCAGGTTTCGAGGTAAGTAACGAGACTGCGTGATGGTTAGAGTACACGATATMGGCTGATTTAGCCTATTTTYCTCCTTTGGACTTCCTTTGAAAAGTATTMTTGTCCGTTAGGGACTAGTGACGAGACTCCCCTCTCTCACACCCATTCTTACTCTTCTGACTTCCAAAAAAGACAGGAAGCCCGTGATTGTAAATGAWGCATGCGGAGGAGAATAAGGCGGATCTTTGTTTAAAATATTTTGCTAATTAGCATAAAGTTTAAATTAAGAAAACCTGTCAATAAATTTAAAGTGTAAAGGGCTTATTAAGAACTAGCCTCCTCCACAGGCAACTCTTTTTTCCTCCTTTGGGCTTCCTTTGTAACGGTCTTTTTGGCCGTTAGGGACTAGTGACGAGATAGCATCTCGCCCCCATTCTCCCTCTTTTGACTCCTCAAAAAGACAGGAAGCCCGTGATTCTTAGTGATGCCTGCGGAGGAGGCTAATTAAGAACTATAAACTAAGAAAGTTTGAGGTCTTTACATGCAATAGCTTATTAGATATTAACGTTCAGAGGTACTGAAAGCGAAAAAAGTAAAAGCGCTAATTATTTCATATAATACCATGATCACCTCGGATTCTTTTGTCTTCCGAGGGATGTTTACAAGCGAACATCCCTCCCTCATGAATAGCATGAGGGACGATTACCGTTTAACGTAAAAACTATTTTATATGGGAAGCTCAAAATTGCAAGGAAAGATTATTGTGCTATGTTATTTCAATATTCAGTGCTGATTTACTGATAGTTAGGTTAAAACGTTATATGCTTATGCTAATGATATGCTAATCAGAGGAAATGTAAACAAATTATTAGCCAATAACAACTGCTTCTTTGTAAGATATGGATCAATCTTTGTATTGTACAACAGGTTGTTATTCAAAATACCGGGCCAGAATACTGCGTTGCAATAGGTGTGCTCACAACTACACGTGTTTCAAGCCAAAGTTCCGGATTTGGCGGATTGCAGGCAGATGCAGGGTTTGTTGCTGATAGAGGATTGATCTTTGATATGAACCGGATCACGTGGGATGATAACAAAGAATGCGAAGGTATGTTTCCAAAAGGCCACGTTTTATGCGTTCGCTATCAAAGTTTCAAGCCACCTTAAAAAACTGAACTGAAAAGCATGAACTATTCTCCTATTCAGAATATGTGGCAAAAAGAGGCGATTTGATTGGTTGTAAGGTGCTGTTTGATTGTCAGTCAAATGATGGTATTCTTCCCATGTCGATCACCCTTAATTCGCGAGTCATTGGAAAAGCTGAAATAAGACCAGGAGGTAAAGACCTTTTCCCATTTGTTAGTTTTGGAAATGAAGGGACTACTGTACTGTTCAAGGTAAGCTAATTGAAGCTGTCTCATTAATGAATTTGCAACGATATCATTTTGTACAACAAAGCACGGTGGTGGTTCTCTTACTTTGTCATGACAAAGTTAAATAAAACAGTCTTGGTAAGACGTTTTTGATTTGATTTGCAAAACAAAAAAAAGAAGAAGAAACTGAGCATTTTTTTTCATTAAAACATGAAGACAGGTTTATGGATTTTTTTAGAAACTATCAAAAGGGAGAGGACTGTAAGGGACGGCCCATTTAACTTTTGAGGGGGGTGTGTGTGGATGATTTCTTGTGAGCAAGATTTTTTTTTTCTTCGTGGCTTTTAGGTAGGATATATTTTTTTTTTTTTTGGTGGTGTGTAGGGTTTTTTTCTTCTTGTATGTAAAATTTTTTGGGATTAGGGTGGTGCAAGATTTTTTTTAGGCACATATGTTGTGCTCGATTTTTATTTTTGGTGAAGATGGCTTGCAGGATTTGTTTTTTTTTTCAAAATCATCCAGTCCCCCCCCCCCCCAAAGTTAGATGGACCGTCCCTAAGTACTATCATCATGCTTTGCTATGTTACTGAGATAAATATCAAAATGTAAACTATTCATCATTTTTAAAAATAACAGAACACTTTTAAATTTCAAAGACATGTTTAAGACGTTTTAATTTAATCATATTATCTATAAATACTATGTAACTGATTATAACTGATTATAACTGATTGTAAAATGTAATCACATTCAAACCTAAGATGGTTTTATTATTATATGAAAGTCGAAACATGTCTTTGAAATTTAAAAGTGTTGTGTAATTTTTAAAAATTATTGCATCACTTGTGCTTTTACGCTCACTTGGAAATTATTCATCCAGTTGTTACTATTTAGAAAACGTTGAGTCCATTACTGGACAGTCAGTGAAACCTGATGAAGACCGATGGTTTCAGTCGAAACGTTGGATTTTGTTTCGCTGAATGTCCAGTAATTGACTCAACGTTTTCTAAATTACTGAAATAAAAACATTCGGCTATGGATTGAATTTCAGGTGCTTATTTGACGTCAGCGTGAATAGTTTATGGATACTTCTGTGATGTTTCTCTAGACTTGACAAGAAGCACTTTGAAAATTTCATGTTTAGCTGACGTCTTAATCCAAAAAATGCTTCATKTGCGCAGTTTATCTAGCTGTTTTTGTTTCAAACCTTTGTGGACAGGATTGTAGTACAACAAGTCTGATTACAAAGTTTAAGCTAAAACTTTGAAGCAGTAGAGAGTTATGGGGGAGGTTTAATTAGCTACAATGCACTTCGACAATGGGATGAAATATAGCTAATTCAAAAAAGGTTGTCGGATAAAATGGCGAATGTCAATGGTCGAACGGTGGTTGCACGACCGAAAGTAGTCATGGGTTTTGGTAGTTGAAAGGAAATAACAACTGATTTGTACTGTAACATAGTCTGTGGTAAACACTGGATCCTTTAGTCTCGATTTCTATGTAAGGTAAATCCAATAAGTGAATTTTTGACTGTTTATCGAAGCAGTGCAACCATAGTCCCTTTCGGTCGTGTATTCTCCCWTCGACAATCGTCGTTCGCCGTTCTCCTTGACAACGTTTATTGAAATAGCTGTATACAGTAAGTCAGTATTCAACGYTTTCTGAAATAGCTCTATATGGAAAATGAGGTGACTTCCAATCCGTTTTCATCTGTCGGTATTAAGTTCGAATCATTCATTCGTAGAGGATAAAGGGATAATTTGAAAAGAGTAGGTTTTTGTTTATATTACTATGCATTTTTACTTCCAAACATAAACAATCGGTGGACCATAGACCTGTAATGTTGTATTTCTAAGTATAATATATCAAATATGAGCGGGAGACCTTTATGGGCATATAAAACAGCGAGTTGCAGTATGCAAATCTGGACAAATCTCTTTCTCATATAAAGATGCATTCAGAGCAATGATTTTTGATTGTGTTTACCTTATGAGTTATCAATGAATTTGATAATCTGATCATGCATATCATTTCTCCTATAGCTCTGTCCCTCATCAGAAGAACAGTTTGCACACACAGATGTACTGTCAGAAGAAATCTCAGACCTGAAATCTGAAATCTCGGAGCTGCGTTCAACCATGAAGGTTTTATTGGATGCTCTAGCTGCGAGCAAAAAAGGCAATTGATGACATAACTTGATATTTATTCATTCCTAGCACTGGAATCGGGTAAAGAAGTGGTATGGTATAAACACCTATATTTCGGTAAAACATTGGAATCAAAGGTTTTTATCATCAAAGCTAAATAATCGTGACATCATTACGTAAACGATATACATATTTGGACAACAACCTCCAACTCG